TCAATAAGTGTTTGATAAGTCAATAATTTTCTAAGATTATAATATTTAAATATTCTATTTACTTATTTTTCTAGTGAATATGAGTAATTTTTGGGTTTTCTAATTAATTTAACTGCAGAAGCTATCAGAAAAATAATGATCGAGTTTAAGGGATTGTTTGAAGCCGTACCTAAAACATGTCTTGTGCAGAAAATAGACGCAGTGGCGAAAATTTCGGCATCGTGCTAGGAACTTCCCCTATACTTGGGAAATCGGTAGTTTTGTCGGAATTTTATAATAATAATAATATTTCACATTTATATTGGGCGTATTCTATAAAGTATTCATTTGCCCCCAAAGTGAGTTTTTAACAATGTCATGAATTACTTTGCCCTTGCGCCGGTTGTTCGATAGGCGTTGCTTAAACGGTGGATAAGTTCAAAATGGAAAATAAAACTCTATTTATTGAGTAATTGAACAACTGAGCTGAGATATTTCGATGAAAATAGTTTAATTGTCAATGGAAGTACATATTAAATGCATAAGATGTAGTTTCAGTCATCCACAAGATGTATGGCAGTATATTTTTAAACTTTGACTTATCCACCGTTTAAGCTAAACGCCTTTCGAACAACTGGCCCGCGTGCATTTGAATTTTATCTAAATCATTTACCTGCTCAAATGTCATAAAAGCGTTTATTGATGCGGATGATATACGTAGGCACAATGTGATCTCAACCTTTTTGCTAGAGTTGCGTAGATTTTTAACGGGGAAAGATTTCCAGTCAGAAACTTCAACTTGTCAACTTGAACGATGTGAAAAATGAAGTTAATCATCTAATTTTTTCCAAAACAATAAATCAATTATTCTGAAGACATTCGCATACTGGACAAGGGCATGTAAAAGTATATGTCTGGTGTTTGTCATTAAATGTACAGTACTGTATCGGTGGTCCGGTTTTATATTTTTTAGAAATTGCATCAGTATATATTCAGTTTTGACCTTTTATTTAGATATTTGATGGGAATTATGACTCGTATATTGTGAAGAATGTTCTGTCTCCACCAATCACTGCTCGTTATATTCGTATACATCCAGTGTCTTGGCATGTCAACATATGTATGCGTATTGAGCTTTATGGTTGTTACTGAGGTATGTACTAACCTTTCATACTTTATATAAATATCCTTCAGTTTATTGTAAAATATTAAAATTAAAAGGGGACTAACGGATCTAAGGTTACATGCCGAAGAAAGTTTTTGGCTGCCTACGTATAATTGCCTATATTCACAAACAAAATATCTTTACCACTGCATGCATATGGAATTTAGATCATTCATTTCCGTCTAAATAATTTCATTTCCGCTTTCTAAAAGATAGAAATCATATATATATACGAGATATGGCAATTGGGGCGCCAGAACCACTGGAACAACGAGGGGGAAGCTAGATTACGAGAGCAAGCCTCAGAATTAGCGCTCTAACAAAGCGTATCCCAGCGAGGTAACCATTAAGCATGAACTTCGGGAGTACGCCCAAGGCCAACGCAAATCCTTCCCTAAATTATTTAAGACTAAATATCAGAGTGGAAGATAGCAGGTATAAGGATCAGGTAAAGTCAATTAGATGTTGATTTCTAATGTTTTGATCTCTAAAAAATATGTTTTATGATTGGCCTCGAATACCAGAGCTTGTGATTCCAGTCTCATTTACTAACCAAAGCATTCTTCTGGATTCTTTGGTAAACCAGACTGGATCAGACAGAACTTGCATGAATGATTCTACCTGCCTCGTTGTTTCTGATGATTGCCTCAAGTTTTGCATAAAGCATTGCATAAAAACAGGTTTAATCAGGAAACGAGATCTCAGGGAAATGTGTAACCTGCAAGCAGGCTTGTTCAGGGAAGATACTGTACCTTGAAGTTCAGGCACTGAAGATCCATTCTTCATTTTGTAAAAACAGGTTGTAAAATGACGTAATGCACTGACTGCTTTCTCTTGTTGGAAAAAGAAGTGAAAATAAGAATTCCGTATTCTGAAAGTTTCTTCATACACAACCAAAACATAATCTCTTAACCATTAACCATAACGAATCTAATCAGACAACGGAGGTGTTTTGAGGGTGTTTCAGACAGAATCTTTTGATTGAGAGGCTAAAAGCGACCCCAAGGTTGTTGCACAGAGTTCAACGTAATAAAGCTCCGTCGACAAGAGACATTGTAAGCAAAAACTGCATCAAAAGTTTGTACAGAAGTGAAAACAATTAACCTGGATTGGTCGTTGCTGATGACTGATGTTATCATCGATGGTCGATCGCCACGAAACTAAAGAAATAAACACAGAAACTAATCGTTAATATTAAAGAATTGCAATGAACAAAACCTGAAAGATCTTGCCAATAGTTTCATCTTTGATATAAAAGAAAGGGAATGCAGGTATTAACATTAAATTATCAGGTGGGAAATAAAAATATTTATATAATATAAGTACTTGGACAGATAGATAGATAGATAGATAGATAGATAGATAGATAGATAGTTAGATTGTTGGTTGGCATTTGGCATAATTTCATGGCATTTGGCATTATCATTGTGCTAAATGCCATGGCATTTGGCATAATGACTATGGCATTTGGCATAATCTCCATGGTATTTGGCACAATACTAACATTGTGCCAAATACCATGGCATTTAGCACAAATTTTATGGCAATAAGCACAATTGCTATGGTATTTAGCACAATTTGATGGTATTTGGCACTATGTTGTGCAAAATGCCATGTCATTTAGGGGAATCTGAAATTGGTTCCATTTTTTCCTGTTTCTTACTGCTTTTCGATGTTTTTATATACTTATTGGTTTGTATTCTTATCACCCCAGTATTCACTCTCTTTTTACTAATTGAGGCTTTTCTTGTATATAACTGTTTTTTATACAGTTGTTTAATCCCTGTATTTTATTTTTCATCCTTTTTTGCATTTTTTTAAATATTCTTACGGCCATTTTTGCTTTTACCTCAACCTTGTTTTTTACTGCATTGTGAAGGTTATCACTTTTTTTTAGTCCTAGTTTTTACCCTGTTTGAACTTTCTCACTCTATTCATGGTGTTTACATTTTTAACTGATTTTTTCAAAACTTTTAATTGTTCCCTCCCCCTTCTATGCTGTGGATTACCATTCCTTACTTTTTAGTATGTATTTCGTTTTAAGCGAAATAGCTTAGAATCGAAATCCGTCAGGCAGAACTGAATATATGAATAATTCACCCTTCCAATTATCGTTCTAGTTACAGCCCTGGCTGCGATGCTGTTCCCTACCTCATGCATGTATATAGTATCTAATTACCTAAGTTTGTGGATAAAAGTTTACTTTCAATATACTCGTTTAAACCAATTCACTACATTTAAAAATGCGTTTTTTTATTTTGCTGTTTCAATATCGAATGCCTGTGGGTATTGAAAAATTATTGTTTCAGAACAGGTACAAGCGAGTTTGAGCAAGGAAAGGAAGTACGAAGAGGAAGACTTGTTTTGGCCGAGGTAGACTGGGAATAGTAGTCTTCGTCTTAAGTCTTCGTGCAGCAGGATCTTTGAATTTAGCAGTTCTGTCAAAGTTATACGACTACGAACACAGTACTAATTTTGTAAACATGAACAGAGCTGAATACCAGATGGCTATTTTAGCAATGTTTTTAGAAGATGCTTTGGAAGTGGAAGATGTTATGCTTCTTTACGATTTAAAAATCTCAAACAACATTTATATTCCATACAAGAACTATTCAAGATTTGGCTTGAATATATCTTACTTTGAAAACTTCGTTCTGACCACAACGAACTTTGTCACAAGCGATCCTAGTAAACTGAATTTAAAAATAGTCAAAACAAAACATTAGCATTTAACTTTAAGTGCTTTTTTATTTTTTACTAAAAAACAAGAAATGCTTTAATTGTTACAAATTGCATCGGTAATTACAACCTGGTAAAGTAAATTCAACTTCTTTTAAACTAAAAGCAAGTTGTTCATAGGCCTATTTGTAAATTAGGAAAAATCACTTGCAAATGAAAGTCCCCTGTCACACCTCTTAAAGGCACGTTGTCGTAAGATCATGACTAAGTAATGGTTACAGAATAATCACGTCTCCATGAGATATATAGAATCCCGAGAATTAGGTAAAAGATCACCAGGGGCCTTTGGCTCCCAGTTTCATTTATCGTAATCAGACCACTCTAAAATAATTAAATGGAATTTAATGAATTCCCTACACTATGAGAGATATATAAAGCATGCAAATACTGGCCGCTGATTAGCTGAGTGAAGGTAGCTATTCTCTAACGCATCACGTAATTATTATCCTATTAAGTTGTATTACATGATGTTCACTTGAAATTAGCATATTTCCCGTCCCTATCGCAGCGTTTTACTTTATTTATAAGCTGTATTTGGCTGTACTTTTCTGTAAGTCCTAACTCTTTGCAGACCTTGTCATTGATAATACATTTCCAAATAGCGTCATCGCTGAGATTTTCTTTACGTTGGAGGTCTATTGTCGCCTGTAAAACTGCTGCTGTCTCTTTTGCCAAAAAATATATTTTCTTCTTTGGACTTTTTTTTGGACTAAACCGCCTTGCTACAGTACGAAATAATTGAGAAACTGATTAGGTTAAGCATTCATTGGTTGGGGAAAATACGAGAGAATTGAGCTTTTGGAATTCAGAGGAACAAATTATTTTCCTATCATACAAATCACACACTCAAGACTTACATGCCAGTTGCATTCGCACACTTCGCAAAGGTTTCTTTGGCGATATTTTCGCACGTTTAACAGGCCTCCATTGTTGTTGCATCAAACGTTTTTCTGAGACAAAGAGATTGAGGTATAAGAAAATAAAAAAGGGACAACACAATCACCATTCAAACGTCATTCAAAGCAATGTAGAACTAAATTATTTGTGTTTATGGATCACATTTAATATACCGGTAGCTATTATTACAGTCCCTATCTGTTTTCAGCCAGTATCTTACTTTTTTCAGGACTTCTTCCCTCCACTTTTTCCGGACTTTTTTCTGGACTCGAATGACTGTCTTCCGGACTTTTTTCAGGGCTTTGTTCAATAAATTTTGGCTCATTTTCTCCTGGATGTTTTTCAACACCTTTTTCAGGGGTAGTTGTGGCGACATATCGTAGAAAATTTGATACTTTTGCACGACCTTGGGAAAAGAAACGATTTCATCAGAGTGATTTATGCAAGAAAAAATATGGCAACTTCCATATGTGATTTGAATAATATGTTAATATGCAAACTTACTGTGAAAACTGCTTGTTACATAAACGACTACTAGAAACGTCTTAATTAAACTACAGGTTTTGAACTGTTTCTTTCTATGTCCCATCTTAGTTTTTAAAAGGAAGATTCCCTATTCATGAAATAACAAAAAAATTAATTACCTTTTACTGCATCTCTCATGGCGTAGTGTCCTTCAGCGGTCGATGTGGAATGAGACATTTGCCGGGCAAGTTCATGCTTGGAAAGACCACCAGATTTGCCTGATTCAGCAACTTGTCTATGGCGGGACACCGCCGACTTTCGTATTCGTTTTCCAGTAACAGTTCCAGAAATAGACGGGTCAAGCATTTTAACCACCTTTGTAACCCTGGTTGAAATCTGCGAGGAAGGTAGAGGATTCCCTCTCACTGTCAAGAAGAAGAGTGGTTCTTTTTCTTTTTTGCCTTTTTGCTGAAGAAACGAATTGTTATTTGCAACAGCAGGTCTTAGTTTCTCCAAATAAATCACACCGCATTTGTAAGTACGCTCATCCCAGGACAGACTTGCTGGCCCCGTTCCTTAAAAAGATAGTGAAAATTTTTTTATATCAGTTACTTGTGTAGAGACACCCATATAATTTAAGATGCACATGTAAAAAGTGTTAACAAGATATGTTTAAACAAACTAATTATTTTGGAATTAAGAATTAAGAATAATTGTTTTGGTGTTTTCTTAAGCAAGTTTGTTGTTGTTCCTAAAATAATTTAATATAAAATTACGCAAAATAACTGCTTCTAAATTGCATGCTGGAAATTATTGCGGTTTAATGACATGCATTTGCTCAGAAAAGATCCATCTTCAGTTTTGATTTCAATATGCTAATGAAATAAAGCTGACTTTGTAAGCTTTTTGTATTGTGTTTAAAATTTGAAAATACGTGCGAAATAGCACGTAATTTTGTGTTGCGGTATGTATGTTTTTATTGCGCGTTAATTAATTTAAATGGTTTGACTAAACAAATTGTTTTATAAAATGCGTTAATAGGGTGATGACTTTTAAGTGGTTTTTAATTACAATCTAAATACGATAGTATGTTCAGTACTGGCCGTGGAACATCGTTAAATGGGGGGGCTACTGTACTGTTAATATTTTCAAGTTCAGGTTTATTTGTTTCTTTTCAAATTGTTCTTTTTTACGGTCTGTTAACATGAATTTTAGCACACACACGCGCACATTTAACGATCACCCTCGGCCATTGATGTTTGTATGTTTATTGACAATCAATCTTTTACTGATATGCCTTAAAACAATGGCTAGCGCATTCTATAGTAGCCTAGTGCTACCGTAATTCAGGAATGCCGCTTTTACTGAAATGGTAACTAAATAGAAACTCTAATATATATATTTCACTGTAAAGAAACTTGTTAAATTTGTAAATACCAAATAGTCCTTTTTCTCAAGTGTCATCACTCTCAAATTTAAAGGGCGTAATGCAAATGCGATTGATCTTAATCCCTATAATGTAAGCATGCAAATACTTCATTCAGAAATTCCGTAGTTACTTGTGTATGTCTAAACTATAAGACGAAATAGACAATCTTAGCGCTTCACATAAACTTAATTATTGCAAAGTTGTCTCTATTCGACCCTTAGGGCAGAGTCTAAAAAGATATAGACATGGTTTGTCTTAATATTAAGTATAGGATAATGTTAAATCCGGATACTATAAAAATCAGCAGTGGTAAAAAATCTGCAGGGGCCGGTTGTATCAAGCCCGTTTAGCTTAAACGGTGGTTAAGCTCAAAATAGAAAGCCAGTCTATTGCTTTATTCACTAAATCAGTCTAATTGTTTTTAAACCTTAATATCGAGATATTGTTTTCAACTACATATTTAGTGCATAATATTCAAGTTGACTCATTCAAGAGTTGTTAATTTTGACTTATCCACCGTTAAAATAAACGGCCTTGATACAACCGGCCCCAGATCGACAAAACTTAGAGCGGTTCTTTGACGTAGTGCGCAGCAGCTAGTTTCATCTGAACCGAAAATGCAGCTAATCGACCTCTAAACATGTCTAGAAGGAGAGAATTTTAAATAATCCGCAAACAGATAAATGCATGCGTATAGAGCACCGGGGCCGTTTGTATGAAGCCCGTTTAACTTAAAGTTAAACGGTGGATAGTTAAGTCAAAATTATAGTATAAGCAGTAATTATACTATAGATCAGTAAAAAAGAATATTGTCAGATGCTATATAAGTACATATTATACAGTAGCTATTTGGAATTGTATAATGCGTCAGAGAAAAATAAACAAGAATACAACATTTAAGACATCAGGAAATACGAACTTCTAACAACATCGGAAAAAACAGAGGGAACTTTCCAGTGAACGGAAATTTAATTACGGCTTACAGTATGGGGGCTGATTGCGGTTACCCAGAAGGAGAGGAATCGTTTGTGCAAATATACGTCAGGAACAAAACTATAGGGTTGTATTGATAGCAAGTAGAATTGGAAGGGCAATAAACATTCTAAAAACTGTATGAAATTATTTCAATTGATAAACCTGAACTAGGATAATCTATGTTCCTAATACAATGGCATTTGGCACAATGTGGTGGTATTTGGCACAATGTGGTGGCATTTGGCACAATAATATGGCATTGGGCACAATCAGCCATATAAGTTCTAGCTATACATTTAATGTCAAAACATGGTTTTATATCAGGTCTAATTAACAATAGCAGAGAAAAGGCCAGAGTCTCACTTAACTCTTAAGGAAGTTTGTTGTTGTTCCTTAAAATAATTGAATATAACATTGCGCAAAATAACTGCTTCTAAATTACATGCTGGAAATTATTGTAGTTTAATGACATGCATTTGCTCAGAAAAGATCCATCTTCAGTTTTGATTTCAATATATTAATGAAATAAAGCTGACTTTGTAAGCTTTTTGTGCATTATATATTGTGTTTGAAATTTGAAAATGCGTGCGAAATAGCATATATTTTTGTGTTGCGGTATGTATGTTTTTATTGCGCGTTAATGAATTTAAATGGTTTGACTCAACAGATTGTTTCATAATATGCGTTAATAGGGTCATAACTTTTGAGTGGTTTTTAATTACAATCTAAATACTATAGTATGTTCAGTACTGGCTGTGGAACATCGTTAAATGGGGGGGGGGGGGCTACTGTACTGTTAATATTTTCAAGTTCAGGTTTATTTGTTTCTTTTCAAATTGTTCTTTTTTACGGTCTGTTAACATGAATTTTAGCACACACACGCACATTTAACGATCACCCTCGGCCATTGATGTTTGTATGTTAATTGACAATCAATCTTTTACTGATATGCCTTAAAACATTGGCTAGCGCATTCTATAGTAGCCTAGTGCTACCGTGATTCAGGAATGCCGCTTTTACTGAAATGGTAAACTAAATAGAAACTCTAATATATATTTCACTGTAATTAAAGAAGCTTGTTAAATTTGTAAACACCAAATAGCCCTTTCTCTCAACTGTCATCACTCTCAAATTTAAAGGGCATAATGGAAATGCAATTGATCTTAATCCCTATAATGTAAGCATGCAAATACTTCATTCACAAATTCCGTAGTTACTTGTGTATGTCTAAACTATAAGACGCAAATCGCTGCGAAAATAGACGATCTTATTTTAATTAGCGCTTTGCATAAACTTATTGCGAAGTTGTCTCTATTCGAACCTTAGGGCAGAGTCTAAATAGATATAGACATGGTTTGTCTTAATATTAAATATAGGATTATGTTAAATCCGGATACTATAAAAATCAGCAGTTGTAAAAAATCTGCAGGGGCCGGTTGTATCAAGCCCGTTTAGCTTAAACGGTGCATGGTTAAGTTCAAAATAGAAAGCCAGTCTATCGCTTTATTCAACAAGCAAACTAAATGTTTTTAACCTTAATACAAAGATATTGTTTTCAACTACATATTCAGTGCATAATATTCAAGTTGATTCATTCAAGAGAGTTATTTTGACTTATCCGCCGTTTAACGGCCTTGATACAACCGGCCGCAGATCGGCAAAACGTGGAGCGGTTCTGTAACTTAGGGCAGCAGCTAGTTTCATCTGAACCGAAAATGCAACAGCTAATCGACTTCTAAACACGTCTATGGGGAGAGAATTTTAAATAATCCGCAAACAGATAAATGCATACGTATAGAGTGCTGTTAATTATAGTATAAGCAGTAAGTATACTATAGATCAGGGGCCGCTTGTATGAAAGCCGGATAGCGCTATCCACCAGATAATGATTTTTTCAACCGTTTTAAAAATGCTTGAAAAGTGATAAAATTTCATTTTTGGAACCAGCAATTATTGAAAAGGATACTCGATTTAGGAATACTAAGGTTTAATCAAAGTTATAGCAAACAACGGGCGATTTTAAAGCGATTGAGAAAACCACTATCCGGTAAATGGCGCTATCCGGCTTTCATACAACCGGCCCCACTAAGATCAGTAAATAAGAATATTGTCAGATGCTATATCAGTACATATCATACAGTAGCTATTTGGAATTGTATAATGCGTCAGAGAAAAATAAACAAGAATACATTTAAAACATCAGCAAATACGAACTTCTGACAACATCGGAAAAAAACAGAGGGAACTTTCCAGTGAACGGAAATTTAATTACGGCTTACAGTATGGGGGCTGATTGCGGTTACCCAGAAGGAGAGGAATCTTTTGTGCAAATATACGTCATGAACAAAACTATAGGGTTGTATTGATAGCAAGTAGAATTGGAAGGGCTATAAACATTCTAAAATTATTTCAATTGATAAATCTAAACTAGGATAATCTATGCTCCTAATACAATGGCATTTGGCACAATGTGGTGGCATTTGGCACAATAATATGGCCTTGGGCACAACAGTACGGCATTTAGCACAAAAATTTTGCATATATGCCACGTCATTTCGCACAGAATGAACGAGAAATATCAAATAAGTGAGCTTTTTGCAAAACACGAAACCTCAAAATCTTTGGTTAAAACAATGTTAGAAATATTATAAGGCAAATGTGGAGAATTCCGTCAATGGTCGAAATGGGTTATCCCTTAAAATTACAAGACATGAATCATGTTCATTAAAAAGCACACATAATTCCCTTGAATCAGTCATATAAGTTCTAGCTATACATTTAATGTTAAAACATGGTTTTACATGAGGTCTGATTAACAATAGCAGAGAAAAGGCCAGTGACTTAGCCACTAAATTTTGGCCATAATAAATATGTTTAGGAGAAATTAAATAGGGCAGCAGTAGTTGCATCTAGTTTACTGGAATACAACAGGTAATCAACTTCCAAGCACTCTAAGAGAAGAGAGTTTTATAGATAAGTATATAATAAGAATTGTATAGGAACAGGAATACAAGTCATTCAGACTATTGGGAAATACTCTGAACCATCACATGCAAAGAAACCATGCCAGGAAGTTATCAGGCTGGATTGTGGTTAACCAAGAGAGGATGTTGTTTGCGCAGAATATACGTCGTCAGAATTGTCCCTACAACCAAACTATAGGTTAGTTGTAGACAAAATTATTTGTCGTCCAACATAAAAGAAACTGACTGATCGCACATGCAGGGGGCATAATAGAACCCTTAAACAGTGAACAAGCCGCTACCTAAACAAGTTAAAGATTCGTATAAATACGTAGAGCTTATTTGCGACTAGAATTAAAGCTTGTTAGAGCAAACAGACCATGTATTATTAAGGCTTTTAAACAGCAAATATACTCCTTTAAACTGATAAGTTGCAAAGATCATAAATATTATTTGCGATTTTTATAGGCCGCGGCTCATAGTTTAGAATCGAAGTTCGTCTTTATTATAAGCCGTACGTATAATAATTTTATATTTAGGAAAATTGGTACATTCCTTGAAGGTCTACGTCCTATTTTCGCTTGTATAAATACCCATAATAAGTATGGAAAGGAAAAGGCTGCATGGTTAACAAAAAGTGAAAAGTATAAAAGGCAAAAGCGCGAGAATTTATTCAATGGTCGAAACGAGTTATCCCGAAATTTACAAGACAAGATCATTGCATCACATCATATTTATAACCAACATGACTGTTGCTATATAACAGTTATCATAGTTGCAAATACATTATGAAAACAATAATAACACATCTATGATTAGTAATGATAATAATACATGTGCAATGTTGGTATCTGATCGACCAATCAAGAAGCAGGTATAGGTGGGGAGAGTTTTTTAAAAAAAATTTAAAAAGCCCAGTTTTTTGAGGCTGAAAGTTAATATACTTTGCAGATGGCTGCCAAACAGGGTTTAATTGTGTTTATATCTTAAACGAGTTCGGTGACCCCCATTTTTTTGACATGAAATATTTACGCTTTACATGCTTTATCTATAAAAACGTTTTAAAAAATTTTTACGAAAATTTTGGGGAAATTTTTAATAAGCCAAAATAACGTTTTTTAAACAGACTTGACGGAATTTTAAAAAACTTTTTAGAGATAAAGCATCTATAGTGTAAATGTTTATTGCAAAAAAAAATTGGGGTCACTGAACTCGTTTGCGATATAAACACCATTAAACCCTGTTTTGCGGCCATTGCAAAACGTCTCTGTTGCCATAATAACGGGTGTCAGAGAAAAGTTCTGAATAGATTTTCGATTTAGATATATTTCCTGCAAAGTATATTATTAACTTTTAGCCTTCTAGCAAAGCATTTAGATGCCTAATAGCTCTGTTTAAAATATGAATAAAAAAAATTTGACGAACTGTATCAAGCCAAACTAAATTAATTACATATAATTACAATAGAATATAATTAAATCACATATAATTATGGAGGATCAATAATTAAGCAATCTAAAGAACAATTTCGTTGTGAATATTATTATTTGGGATATATACCATGCTTTGGTTATAAACAGTGAAGGCTTAAATAAATCTTTGAATCGAGAAGTTTATCCAGTAATTATATGCAATTTAAGCTTGTGCCAGGTCAATGGCATCGCCAGCATCGATAAGTGGGGTGGACATATTCATATATTCATGTTGACAGACCGATAAAACAATCAATTTGAAAAGAAATGAATAATGTAAAACACGAATATATAAATAAGTCCCCACACTTATCAAGCTGGCGACGCCACTGGGCCAGGTGGCAGAGACAATCCAAACCTCGTTCCCAGGGCCTTTTACCTTGATTCTGGTGGTGATTTCCTCTTCTTCTCATAAAGTCCCAAAAGACCCTGGGAACGAGGTTGAGAGACAATCCCAAGAGGTAATACTTGTGCTCTCAATTAAAAGTGTGTAAGGGGTTATATGCATTACCTTGTTTCGTGAGTAAGAAAACAATTTTAGAGCTACAAATACGACTGAAAATGCGCACTTTTGTAATTTTTTCATTGGAGGTCTTTTATTGGTTATCAAAAAATGGCTAAAAGAGCGTCACATATTTTCCGGACAGTCCCAGTCTCGTTGTAACCGCAGTTTCATTAAACGCTGCCTTCTAATGATGCAAATAACGCAAAGATAACAATTTTGTTCATGCTAATATAGAAAAAGTATAATTATGATGCAGAAAGGTAATAATCTAGAAATTCATATTTGAATATAAGAATTTAAACGACTGTGCGTAGAGCGTATGAATTCAGAAGGCGGGGGTCGAACTCCGAGCAGATTTGTTGTGACTCATGACAAACAGATTTATTATTGTAAATTACCAACATGTTACCATATGATTGTTACGACTACGTAAAAAAATATTTGTTGCTTTTATTTTCGCTCTCTAAGCACCTTTTGCAAAGCACATTTATATTCACGATCTTTTGTTTCTGTGCGTGACTTTAGAGGAAAAAAGATTATTTAATTTAACATAGCCTCATAGAGTAATAAGTTTCAAAGTCCGTATTTGAGACAAAAATATGAAGATTGCGCCAAATGCCAAAAGGAATAGCATGCAGTTGCGCCGAATACCACAGTTATGCAAAATACCATGGACATCTATTTTCAGCTTGGCATTTGGGACAATAAAATTGATGCAGTAGTTTTAAAAGCAAAAACGGATATTTCACAACGAATAAACACAAAGTAGATATTGGTTACACACAGTTTTACATTTTAAGACGGTATTAGACACTACAGAACTAAAATTTAAGGAAAAAATCAAATTTTACATGATTGTGCTAAATGCCAACAATCTATAGATAGATAGATAGATAGATAGATAGATAGATAGATAGATAGATAGATAGATAGATAGATAGATAGATAGATAGATAGATAGATAGATAGATAGATAGATTTAATTAAGATAACACATAGCAGCCTATAAGGCTGAATTGCGTGCTATACCTTGGGTATGATCTGCTCCAATGCACCAATACAAGAAGCACCAATACAAGAAGCACCAAGTGTATCCTCTAAGCTCCTATATATCAATCAATAAATAATGATATTTCTTCATCAAGAACAGGAAGGTAAAAGCCGAGACGCACCTGTTGTTTTCAACACCGTAGCGATACAAGGCATGCGTTATTTCAGCTGCACATAAGACGCTGCCGTGCCTAGCGTGAAGATCCAAGCCAACGGTCTGAGGTAAGATTGCAGGAAGAACTGTGAACGGAAAACACAAGTTATTGAAGGATAAACTTGATACATTTATTCTTTGACGAGATGACTCTCCCCCTTTCTGTCAAGCGTCAATCTCCTTCACAATCTGTTCTATCCTCCCGTTATTCTTCGAGGGGTTGCCCCACACCCCTACTCGCCCCACAAAGTGCCTTCCTCCCTCCCTCCCTCCTAGTTAATCGTCTTCTTCATAACTTCAGAACGATTTTACATTTCTCTCTCAGCGAAGCATATTACCTTCTTCCGCCATCATCACTGGATCTCGGACAGTAAGATTAAACAAAGCTTTGGATACGAGTTCCCTGACAGCACTAAAAACAAAAATACAACAGAGTTTGCAACTGCACCATTAAAAAGCTAAAGTTTTATAAGGTCGGGATGAAGTCAACTTTATGATCATTTTCTTTCCCAGAGATATTTTGTTTTACGAAAGAAAACATGCGGATTATTATTTCCGGAAAAAGTACAAACACTTTAGCTGCAACGTACAACTGGAAACAAGCATTGTAAAACAACTAGAACAAGTATTGTGATGATTTACAGTACACAAAAGTCATGCACACAGACTTACATGTCCCAATGACAAAGTTTAACTTTGTAGAGATGATCGATCAATTCATTCCTACAAATGAAACAACATTTTTCCACCATAAAGATTAAGAAACGAAAGCCGGAGGTGAGATATTAAAATACGACTTACTCTCGTCTTGCAGATAGTCTTCCGAGGAAATTTTCTAACGAGATCTCAGCCTGTCGTATCTACGAAAGAGATGAAATGTTATACCATAATTCTAATACAGTAAGTTAACCACAGGCTTTTAAAATCACTGGAAAAACTTGTAAGAAAGTCGTGTACTTACCAAAGACTCACTAAGACCACCAGCGCTGAGTATTATACCACTCAGTACGGCATATTGGTGGCACGGTATTTCCAATAACTGCGAAATTTTCCGGAAAACTTCAGCGGCGGCACCCCAATTTAAATTCTCAGAATCTTTTCTAGAATAAAAGACTCTGGTTTAATCAACTATCAAATTCACAGAAAGAGTTGAACGAGTGGATATTAATCTAGCTCTATCGTGAGCTCAGTGAAGACGTAGCGAGGTAAATATTAAAATGATGCAAACTATTAACTTTGCTATACCTTGGAAATATGTCACACAGGAGCTTGTGTTCAGGAATTCTTGGAATAACAGGACTGTGAGAAATAAAACAGCAGTGTTAATGTTGTGGGTTTCGCATTAACAAATGAAGACGGGATTGTTTAAGATTGGTAAACACAAACATCAAAGAACCTCTAATGAGAAGGAGGAGAACAGAGAATTCATTGAACCCAAGTGAAGATTTAAAGATTGCCCGAAATACTTACTTCTCTTTGTGAATAAGTTTCAGGAATATTTCTCCGGCATGTGCTCTCGTATGATCGATTTTTTCACTGCATTGTTTTAGCAGACAACACATCATTTCATTGCAACTAGAGAGGTTGAGAGGAAGCCAGAGATCTTTTGAGAATCAGCGTGGGGATTCTGATGAAATACAGACAACATACTCACGTCTCTTTAGAGAGAAGTTCGGAATCCGTCCCAGTTACAACTAGTATGAGTTTTGATAAACATGTCATGGCCGCCTTGCGGGACCTAAAGTTATAACATCGTTTAGTAAAGATCATTTCTCATTCCTAAAAAAGGAAACCAACTTAATTATCCTGGATTTCTCCCTCAGTTTTCTAAAGGAGGTCCAGAAAGGATCATCTCTTATTGATCCGGTGTTAATACCTCAGGATATAACCTCAGGATAGAACCTCACTCCGGTTATAAACAGTTCTCGACCAGTTCAAACTACATAATGACTTACCACGATCCAACATCACCTCAGCTGTCGATCGTGTAATCATTCATAGCTTTAAAACAACAGTGAAAGAGTCGCGTGAGGATAGACTCATTGATAACACTATTGCTTTCCCCTTCTCTTTTAACACCGACAGTCTCAGCAATACTGAAATTAGACAAATTGTGGTTTCAATTGGTTTAAATTTAGTCAGGTGATTATGAAGATATCAATTCAAGGTGATATTCTCTCATTGTGGTGAGATAAGATATCAATTCAAGGTGTCTCAAGTCTTTTACCCCGCAGGGAGTGCAACGCGTCCGCTCGGGATTGTGCGAATTTCCCAGCATCTTTCTCACGAACCTCTGTTACTCCAAAAAGACCCTCTATGACCTGATAAGACCCAAAACACCCCCATTATTACAAGGCAAAACTCAGAATACCTCAGAATTAGCGCTCTAACAAAGCGTATCCCAGCGAGGTAACCATTAAGCATGAACTTCGGGAGTACGCCCAAGGCCAACGCAAATCCTTCCCTAAATTATTTAAGACTAAATATCAGAGTGGAAGATAGCAGGTATAAGGATCAGGTAAAGTCAATTAGATGTTGATTTCTAATGTTTTGATCTCTAAAAAATATGTTTTATGATTGGCCTCGAATACCAGAGCTTGTGATTCCAGTCTCATTTACTAACCAAAGCATTCTTCTGGATTCTTTGGTAAACCAGACTGGATCAGACAGAACTTGCATGAATGATTCTACCTGCCTCGTTGTTTCTGATGATTGCCTCAAGTTTTCGATGTACGTGTTGATCAATGAATCTGCATAAAAACAGGTTTAATCAGGAAACGAGATCTCAGGGAAATGTGTAACCTGCAAGCAGGCTTGTTCAGGGAAGATACTGTACCTTGAAGTTCAGGCACTGAAGATCCATTCTTCATTTTGTAAAAACAGGTTGTAAAATGACGTAATGCACTGACTGCTTTCTCTTGTTGGAAAAAGAAGTGAAAATAAGAATTCCGTATTCTGAAAGTTTCTTCATACACAACCAAAACATAATCTCTTAACCATTAACCATAACGAATCTAATCAGACAACGGAGGTGTTTTGAGGGTGTTTCAGACAGAATCTTTTGATTGAGAGGCTAAAAGCGACCCCAAGGTTGTTGCACAGAGTTCCCTGGTTCAACGTAATAAAGCTCCGTCGACAAGAGACATTGTAAGCAAAAACTGCATCAAAAGTTTGTACAGAAGTGAAAACAATTAACCTGGATTGGTCGTTGCTGATGACTGATGTTATCATCGATGGTCGATCGCCACGAAACTAAAGAAATAAACACAGAAACTAATCGTTAATATTAAAGAATTGCAATGAACAAAACCTGAAAGATCTTGCCAATAGTTTCATCTTTGATATAAAAGAAAGGGAATGCAGGTATTAACATTAAATTATCAGGTGGGAAATAAAAATATTTATATAATATAAGTACTTGGACAGATAGATAGATAGATAGATAGATAGATAGATAGATAGATTTAATTAAGATAACACATAGCAGCCTATAAGGCTGAATTGCGTGCTATACCTTGGGTATGATCTGCTCCAATGCACCAATACAAGAAGCACCAATACAAGAAGCACCAAGTGTATCCTCTAAGCTCCTATATATCAATCAATAAATAATGATATTTCTTCATCAAGAACAGGAAGGTAAAAGCCGAGACGCACCTGTTGTTTTCAACACCGTAGCGATACAAGGCATGCGTTATTTCAGCTGCACATAAGACGCTGCCGTGCCTAGCGTGAAGATCCAAGCCAACGGTCTGAGGTAAGATTGCAGGAAGAACTGTGAACGGAAAACACAAGTTATTGAAGGATAAACTTGATACATTTATTCTTTGACGAGATGACTCTCCCCCTTTCTGTCAAGCGTCAATCTCCTTCACAATCTGTTCTATCCTCCCGTTATTCTTCGAGGGGTTGCCCCACACCCCCTACTCGCCCCACAAAGTGCCTTCCTCCCTCCCTCCCTCCTAGTTAATCGTCTTCTTCATAACTTCAGAACGATTTTACATTTCTCTCTCAGCGAAGCATATTACCTTCTTCCGCCATCATCACTGGATCTCGGACAGTAAGATTAAACAAAGCTTTGGATACGAGTTCCCTGACAGCACTAAAAACAAAAATACAACACGAGTTTGCAACTGCACCATTAAAAAGCTAAAGTTTTATAAGGTCGGGATGAAGTCAACTTTATGATCATTTTCTTTCCCAGAGATATTTTGTTTTACGAAAGAAAACATGCGGTATTATTATTTCCGGAAAAAGTACAAACACTTTAGCTGCAACGTACAACTGGAAACAAGCATTGTAAAACAACTAGAAACAAGTATTGTGATGATTTACAGTACACAAAAGTCATGCACACAGACTTACATGTCCCAATGACAAAGTTTAACTTTGTAGAGATGATCGATCAATTCATTCCTACAAATGAAACAACATTTTTCCACCATAAAGATTAAGAAACGAAAGCCGGAGGTGAGATATTAAAATACGACTTACTCTCGTCTTGCAGATAGTCTTCCGAGGAAATTTTCTAACGAGATCTCAGCCTGTCGTATCTACGAAAGAGATGAAATGTTATACCATAATTCTAATACAGTAAGTTAACCACAGGCTTTTAAAATCACTGGAAAAACTTGTAAGAAAGTCGTGTACTTACCAAAGACTCACTAAGACCACCAGCGCTGAGTATTATACCACTCAGTACGGCATATTGGTGGCACGGTATTTCCAATAACTGCGAAATTTTCCGGAAAACTTTCAGCGGCGGCACCCCAATTTAAATTCTCAGAATCTTTTCTAGAATAAAAGACTCTGGTTTATTCAACTATCAAATTCACAGAAAGAGTTGAACGAGTGGATATTAATCTAGCTCTATCGTGAGCTCAGTGAAGACGTAGCGAGGTAAATATTAAAATGATGCAAACTATTAACTTTGCTATACCTTGGAAATATGTCACACAGGAGCTTGTGTTCAGGAATTCTTGGAATAACAGGACTGTGAGAAATAAAACAGCAGTGTTAATGTTGTGGGTTTCGCATTAACAAATGAAGACGGGATTGTTTAAGATTGGTAAACACAAACATCAAAGAACCTCTAATGAGAAGGAGGAGAACAGAGAATTCATTGAACCCAAGTGAAGATTTAAAGATTGCCCGAAATACTTACTTCTCTTTGTGAATAAGTTTCAGGAATATTTCTCCGGCATGTGCTCTCGTATGATCGATTTTTTCACTGCATTGTTTTAGCAGACAACACATCATTTCATTGCAACTAGAGAGGTTGAGAGGAAGCCAGAGATCTTTTGAGAATCAGCGTGGGGATTCTGATGAAATACAGACAACATACTCACGTCTCTTTAGAGAGAAGTTCGGAATCCGTCCCAGTTACAACTAGTATGAGTTTTGATAAACATGTCATGGCCGCCTTGCGGGACCTAAAGTTATAACATCGTTTAGTAAAGATCATTTCTCATTCCTAAAAAAGGAAACCAACTTAATTATCCTGGATTTCTCCCTCAGTTTTCTAAAGGAGGTCCAGAAAGGATCATCTCTTATTGATCCGGTGTTAATACCTCAGGATATAACCTCAGGATAGAACCTCACTCCGGTTATAAACAGTTCTCGACCAGTTCAAACTACATAATGACTTACCACGATCCAACATCACCTCAGCTGTCGATCGTGTAATCATTCATAGCTTTAAAACAACAGTGAAAGAGTCGCGTGAGGATAGACTCATTGATAACACTATTGCTTTCCCCTTCTCTTTTAACACCGACAGTCTCAGCAATACTGAAATTAGACAAATTGTGGTTTCAATTGGTTTAAATTTAGTCAGGTGATTATGAAGATATCAATTCAAGGTGATATTCTCTCATTGTGGTGAGATAAGATATCAATTCAAGGTGTCTCAAGTCTTTTACCCCGCAGGGAGTGCAACGCGTCCGCTCGGGATTGTGCGAATTTCCCAGCATCTTTCTCACGAACCTCTGTTACTCCAAAAAGACCCTCTATGACCTGATAAGACCCAAAACACCCCCATTATTACAAGTCAAAACTCAGAATACCTCAGAATTAGCGCTCTAACAAAGCGTATCCCAGCGAGGTAACCATTAAGCATGAACTTCGGGAGTACGCCCAAGGCCAACGCAAATCCTTCCCTAAATTATTTAAGACTAAATATCAGAGTGGAAGATAGCAGGTATAAGGATCAGGTAAAGTCAATTAGATGTTGATTTCTAATGTTTTGATCTCTAAAAAATATGTTTTATGATTGGCCTCGAATACCAGAGCTTGTGATTCCAGTCTCATTTACTAACCAAAGCATTCTTCTGGATTCTTTGGTAAACCAGACTGGATCAGACAGAACTTGCATGAATGATTCTACCTGCCTCGTTGTTTCTGATGATTGCCTCAAGTTTTCGATGTACGTGTTGATCAATGAATCTGCATAAAAACAGGTTTAATCAGGAAACGAGATCTCAGGGAAATGTGTAACCTGCAAGCAGGCTTGTTCAGGGAAGATACTGTACCTTGAAGTTCAGGCACTGAAGATCCATTCTTCATTTTGTAAAAACAGGTTGTAAAATGACGTAATGCACTGACTGCTTTCTCTTGTTGGAAAAAGAAGTGAAAATAAGAATTCCGTATTCTGAAAGTTTCTTCATACACAACCAAAACATAATCTCTTAACCATTAACCATAACGAATCTAATCAGACAACGGAGGTGTTTTGAGGGTGTTTCAGACAGAATCTTTTGATTGAGAGGCTAAAAGCGACCCCAAGGTTGTTGCACAGAGTTCCCTGGTTCAACGTAATAAAGCTCCGTCGACAAGAGACATTGTAAGCAAAAACTGCATCAAAAGTTTGTACAGAAGTGAAAACAATTAACCTGGATTGGTCGTTGCTGATGACTGATGTTATCATCGATGGTCGATCGCCACGAAACTAAAGAAATAAACACAGAAACTAATCGTTAATATTAAAGAATTGCAATGAACAAAACCTGAAAGATCTTGCCAATAGTTTCATCTTTGATATAAAAGAAAGGGAATGCAGGTATTAACATTAAATTATCAGGTGGGAAATAAAAATATTTATATAATATAAGTACTTGGACAGATAGATAGATAGATAGATAGATAGATAGATAGATAGATAGATAGATAGATAGATTTAATTAAGATAACACATAGCAGCCTATAAGGCTGAATTGCGTGCTATACCTTGGGTATGATCTGCTCCAATGCACCAATACAAGAAGCACCAATACAAGAAGCACCAAGTGTATCCTCTAAGCTCCTATATATCAATCAATAAATAATGATATTTCTTCATCAAGAACAGGAAGGTAAAAGCCGAGACGCACCTGTTGTTTTCAACACCGTAGCGATACAAGGCATGCGTTATTTCAGCTGCACATAAGACGCTGCCGTGCCTAGCGTGAAGATCCAAGCCAACGGTCTGAGGTAAGATTGCAGGAAGAACTGTGAACGGAAAACACAAGTTATTGAAGGATAAACTTGATACATTTATTCTTTGACGAGATGACTCTCCCCCTTTCTGTCAAGCGTCAATCTCCTTCACAATCTGTTCTATCCTCCCGTTATTCTTCGAGGGGTTGCCCCACACCCCCTACTCGCCCCACAAAGTGCCTTCCTCCCTCCCTCCCTCCTAGTTAATCGTCTTCTTCATAACTTCAGAACGATTTTACATTTCTCTCTCAGCGAAGCATATTACCTTCTTCCGCCATCATCACTGGATCTCGGACAGTAAGATTAAACAAAGCTTTGGATACGAGTTCCCTGACAGCACTAAAAACAAAAATACAACACGAGTTTGCAACTGCACCATTAAAAAGCTAAAGTTTTATAAGGTCGGGATGAAGTCAACTTTATGATCATTTTCTTTCCCAGAGATATTTTGTTTTACGAAAGAAAACATGCGGTATTATTATTTCCGGAAAAAGTACAAACACTTTAGCTGCAACGTACAACTGGAAACAAGCATTGTAAAACAACTAGAAACAAGTATTGTGATGATTTACAGTACACAAAAGTCATGCACACAGACTTACATGTCCCAATGACAAAGTTTAACTTTGTAGAGATGATCGATCAATTCATTCCTACAAATGAAACACATTTTTCCACCATAAAGATTAAGAAACGAAAGCCGGAGGTGAGATATTAAAATACGACTTACTCTCGTCTTGCAGATAGTCTTCCGAGGAAATTTTCTAACGAGATCTCAGCCTGTCGTATCTACGAAAGAGATGAAATGTTATACCATAATTCTAATACAGTAAGTTAACCACAGGCTTTTAAAATCACTGGAAAAACTTGTAAGAAAGTCGTGTACTTACCAAAGACTCACTAAGACCACCAGCGCTGAGTATTATACCACTCAGTACGGCATATTGGTGGCACGGTATTTCCAATAACTGCGAAATTTTCCGGAAAACTTCAGCGGCGGCACCCCAATTTAAATTCTCAGAATCTTTTCTAGAATAAAAGACTCTGGTTTAATCAACTATCAAATTCACAGAAAGAGTTGAACGAGTGGATATTAATCTAGCTCTATCGTGAGCTCAGTGAAGACGTAGCGAGGTAAATATTAAAATGATGCAAACTATTAACTTTGCTATACCTTGGAAATATGTCACACAGGAGCTTGTGTTCAGGAATTCTTGGAATAACAGGACTGTGAGAAATAAAACAGCAGTGTTAATGTTGTGGGTTTCGCATTAACAAATGAAGACGGGATTGTTTAAGATTGGTAAACACAAACATCAAAGAACCTCTAATGAGAAGGAGGAGAACAGAGAATTCATTGAACCCAAGTGAAGATTTAAAGATTGCCCGAAATACTTACTTCTCTTTGTGAATAAGTTTCAGGAATATTTCTCCGGCATGTGCTCTCGTATGATCGATTTTTTCACTGCATTGTTTTAGCAGACAACACATCATTTCATTGCAACTAGAGAGGTTGAGAGGAAGCCAGAGATCTTTTGAGAATCAGCGTGGGGATTCTGATGAAATACAGACAACATACTCACGTCTCTTTAGAGAGAAGTTCGGAATCCGTCCCAGTTACAACTAGTATGAGTTTTGATAAACATGTCATGGCCGCCTTGCGGGACCTAAAGTTATAACATCGTTTAGTAAAGATCATTTCTCATTCCTAAAAAAGGAAACCAACTTAATTATCCTGGATTTCTCCCTCAGTTTTCTAAAGGAGGTCCAGAAAGGATCATCTCTTATTGATCCGGTGTTAATACCTCAGGATATAACCTCAGGATAGAACCTCACTCCGGTTATAAACAGTTCTCGACCAGTTCAAACTACATAATGACTTACCACGATCCAACATCACCTCAGCTGTCGATCGTGTAATCATTCATAGCTTTAAAACAACAGTGAAAGAGTCGCGTGAGGATAGACTCATTGATAACACTATTGCTTTCCCCTTCTCTTTTAACACCGACAGTCTCAGCAATACTGAAATTAGACAAATTGTGGTTTCAATTGGTTTAAATTTAGTCAGGTGATTATGAAGATATCAATTCAAGGTGATATTCTCTCATTGTGGTGAGATAAGATATCAATTCAAGGTGTCTCAAGTCTTTTACCCCGCAGGGAGTGCAACGCGTCCGCTCGGGATTGTGCGAATTTCCCAGCATCTTTCTCACGAACCTCTGTTACTCCAAAAAGACCCTCTATGACCTGATAAGACCCAAAACACCCCCATTATTACAAGGCAAAACTCAGAATACCTCAGAATTAGCGCTCTAACAAAGCGTATCCCAGCGAGGTAACCATTAAGCATGAACTTCGGGAGTACGCCCAAGGCCAACGCAAATCCTTCCCTAAATTATTTAAGACTAAATATCAGAGTGGAAGATAGCAGGTATAAGGATCAGGTAAAGTCAATTAGATGTTGATTTCTAATGTTTTGATCTCTAAAAAATATGTTTTATGATTGGCCTCGAATACCAGAGCTTGTGATTCCAGTCTCATTTACTAACCAAAGCATTCTTCTGGATTCTTTGGTAAACCAGACTGGATCAGACAGAACTTGCATGAATGATTCTACCTGCCTCGTTGTTTCTGATGATTGCCTCAAGTTTTCGATGTACGTGTTGATCAATGAATCTGCATAAAAACAGGTTTAATCAGGAAACGAGATCTCAGGGAAATGTGTAACCTGCAAGCAGGCTTGTTCAGGGAAGATACTGTACCTTGAAGTTCAGGCACTGAAGATCCATTCTTCATTTTGTAAAAACAGGTTGTAAAATGACGTAATGCACTGACTGCTTTCTCTTGCAGTAATGCACTGACGATATTCATCATATTGAGCGATGTATCATATTGAGCGATGTAGACACTAGGAAATAAACACGATTATTAGTGAGGTGAGGTGATGGACGAAAACGTCACCAGAAGTCCACTTGCAAGCAACGTTCATGATCTCTGGAGTCTGGACTCCAAAAATTTTCAAATATTCGTAAACACAACAGTTGGACACTGATGGCCGCTGTTTGCAAACGAGGAAAACCTTTTGTATAACTAGAATTGACCTTTGAGCTTCTAATCAATATATTATGTAAATTATTAGGATACGTGACCAGCCGACTGTAACATTGCGACTACACCCCATACTCGGCTACCAGACACAAAGATGTTAGTTGTTTAAAGTTATTTTGTACTAAAAATGACTATCAAAAGTTCGTTGTGAAAGAAATTCTCGTGGTTAGTTTAGAGTATTAGACCACAGGAATAAAGAATAGCTAATACGTGGGGAAACAAACTTCTTAGATTCCTGTCTTGTTGAGAATGGCTTCCTACCCAGCGGAAAACAAATATGGCTACGATGAGGACAAGTTTGAAAAGGCTGTCGACGCTCATTTTCATTACTCTTCTGAACAAATTAGTAGACTAGTTGAAACAAATCATTTGATAAATAGTTAACTAAGAATTAAAGAATGTTATACATGATGTAGCAATATTTCCAGGGAATATAACACGCACGTCATAGTAAGATAAGTATTCTTTCTATTCCCCACTTCGTAATAATCTGTTTTCGTGAGAATATCAATACCATGAGGTAACGTTCCCTGACAAATAAAGACAAATAAAACGAGCTTTATTTACAGAGAAGACCAGAGCAAATGACGCATTTGAAATGAAATTAAATTGTATTTTTCAAATTCTAAAACAAGGATTAAACAAGAGTTCATTGCGGAGAGAGTATTTTTCTTACCTGCCTTCCAAGTTTTACATTTTTTGAGCCTGTTTACATGGAGCGAGTTATCCCGGCTGGGCGAGGTGAAAACAGCATATAATGAAAGACTAATCAGGTTAAGCCTTTCATGTGATGCGCTTTTTACCTCGCCTAGCCTGGATAACTCACTCCATGTAAACATGCAGGGGCTTAATCAACTGCAGTTTATGAATTTTCTATTTTGAAGATGTGAAAATATGTAAACTACCTCGCAATCTCTTCAATATATGGTTTTATTTCCACAGGATTGTAGGCTCTTGCAAATGACCAGCAAGCACAGCAAGCAACATCCCTAACAATACTTTCATGAGACAGTGTGAAACATAACAATACCATCATGTAACACTATCAAACTACAATATTTATGGACTGTGGGAGAAAGTATTTTTAACCCTTCAGCTGGCATTTTACCAAGACATATTAGCCTTATCAAAGCATTCTTATTTTGACTATATATGAATGTTCGATATCAAATTTTACACATCAGAGGAAATACTGCTAGCCAATGGACTAAACTTCTTTGTCTGAAGTGACCCTCGAAATGAAGTCTGCCACATCAAAGAGGCTCATTTGAATCAAAGACTTCCATAATCCATATAGCATCAAAACAATAATTAAAATTATCAATTAAACCAGCATTTGTTTTTACAGACACCAACACTTCTTCAATTTATATTGAATAAGGCGGTATGTTGCTTTAAGTTGAAATATATCAGTTGCCTTTTCAAAGAGTTTCCATTCTGATTGGAGTGATAAAAAAATATCTTGAATGATATAATACAGAATATAGCCATTACTGGTCGATCAGAATGCAGGTGTTTTAACAATCGGCATAATTAGGATTTAGAAAGTAAAGTATTTCCTTAATTAACTTACAATTATCTTCGACATCCTTTTGGCTGTCTTTCTCCGCTTGAAATATCAAATACGCGATCGTACGGAGCTGAGATCGCCTGAAGATTAAAAGAGATTAAGTGTTCAATTGTTTGAAAGCCGTGAGTCGAATCAGGCGTCCAGTCGGCCCAGACGAAGCCGGCGATGTCCATGGTTGGCGAACGATGCTTTCGATGATATTTCGAGGTCTTTTACTCGAAATATTTCGTGGTTTTCAAGAGGAAAGCTGTCAAAACATGTCAAAGGATTTAAAGAACGAGGAACAGAAATTCGCCGGAAATGAATTTGCGCTGAAACAGCGTCATTAAGGACTTGCATGCGGCTAAAGACAGGAATGTAGTCCGGCTTGTGATTGGCTAATCCCGAGGTCGGAATATGGCGGAAATCGGATCATCGGTTCAATATCGTACTATAATCGGACACGCTCGTGTTACAATCGATATAAAATCGTGCTGTTAAAAGATTTATGAAAGTCAGTGTTGCCAACCTTGGGATTTTATCCCAAGATCTTGGGATTTTTTAAGGCTGTTGGGATTTTTTTGGGATTTTTATTTTTTTAATAAGACCTTGGGATTTTTCTTGGGATTTTTTAGAATAGAGACAAGATAATGTTTTAATAATGATAGTTGTAATACTGATTAATCTGCCTGCTCGGTATAACTGTTATTCACTAAATATTTTAATATATCATACAGAGTATACGGCAGTTAAGTGCTGAGATCAGTGAGAAGGTTTCTTCCTATCGTTTATACAAGACCAAGTATTTCGCCAGGCTTCGGTTAACGCGCATGGCTGAACACTTCGCCTGATGAGGGGACCTGGGAACTAATGAAAAAAATTTTGGGATTTTTTGGGGGGAAAATAGGGAATCTTGGGATTTTTTGGGAGCTATATTGGGATTTTTAGGAAAACTGACTTGGCAACACTGATGAAAGTCTGTATCGTGTCTTATCACTGTTGTGTGAACATCCGTGACTTATCCACTCGTTCGCATTTTTCAAAGGAAGAAAATCTCACATAGAATCGCAGAAAAAGTTGCAAGTGTAAACGGGCCTTTTATATAAATACTCAATGACAATGTAATTCTAGGGTGAAACTAGATTTGAAGGAATTTATTTGATATAATGTCAGTTGTAATACTTTGTGCCCAACTTGAACAGTAAAAAAACAAAGTTGAATCGTTCTTTCCAGAACGATTAATACCATCATGAAATATGCACCGATTACACGGTGCACTCACTGCACTGTCCACCTGCAATGTCCGCATGCCTGTTTGCAGGCTATCATATTTTGTTCATCGCGCGAATGCGCGGGAAATTTGCAAATAGGAAGTCGCCATGTTTATTGACCCGTAACATTGGAATAAAGCCGTTTCGCGTTCATCTACTCTTCAGTCTTCAATTAAAAAGTAAGAATATTCATTATAAATTAAAAGAAGAGACACTTCAAGAACATGAATTTGTTCTCGAGCAATGAAAAACATCCAACCAACAATAGATTATATTCATTGCTATCGGGAAGTGTCTCTTGTATTAAATTGCAACTGCGGGGTTTTTTTCGGTGCAATGGAAGGGTGCTTAGGGTGGGCGCTGCCAACTCTTAAAAATGGAAATCTGCTTAACACTTCCCTTTTTCCTTCTATTTATAGCCATCTCATTTATTAGCCTTTAGCATCGAAAGGAAAGTATATATTGAAAATATATTATATAGAATACAGCGCTACAATGCGCAATTAGTATACAATAATGGAAGAGGTAAGCATAAAGCACGTGGTAATTAGTACTAGTAGTACCAAAGGACATACTTCATTCTAATATACTTCACAATAAGCTTGCCCAGTCAGAAATCAGATCATCGTCAACTTGGAACAGTGACCAAGAGGCAAGAATTAAAAATGTAACAAAGAATAGTATTAGTGAATACTCATGCAAGTGAACGGTTTTTCATTTCTGTAATCTTCAATACGTTACTTCTTTAGATAAGTCACGCCAGGCAGAATAGCATCTTATTAAGTCAAATTGACTTGGGAAAGCTTAGCAGACTGCAAGCATTCCGTTTACGTTATCCTCATATTTCGTGGCCAAAGGGGGCTAAAGTCCAGCTTACTAAGAACGCAGATTTCAATCGTTTTCTTGAAGCAGGAATAACTGCGCCAGAGATCCCACCGCGGTCGTGTCTTCATTCGTGGAAAAAAGAACTAACAGAGTTAAATAAAATTCATCCTGACGGCACAGCGCATGTACAAAGTGAAACAAAAACCGTGGTTTACGATATCAAGCTGATAAATGAACTCCTTTGCGTACACAAAGCAATGGAAATCAAAAAAGAAGTCGAACGGGAGCTGGATTGGTTCGCTGGTGTGACGAATTGCCCTGCTAATTTGGTCAGTCAGCCTGCCCAAGAGGATATAAAAAAATTCCAAAGACTTATTTATACGGAGAGGTACGACGAAATGTTTTCTGGGTACGATACCTCGCCTGAGGAATTATCAAGGCTGTGCTGCACTCGATGGCTATCCAGCGACCACATGTCTTGGATCACTCAACGGCTGAATGGTATGCAAGAAGAAACATTTTGTATTTACTTGAATTTTACACGGGACATCGGTCGCTTTGTTAGCAAACGAATAGACTCACTAAGGCGAAAACCAAAGAATTTCCTCTTTATCCTCAATGTGGGTAAAAGTGCAGATGGTAATGTTTATCTTGGAACCTGTGAACAGCCTGGCAATCACTGGACAGTATGCCACGTCGATACAAAAGAACGTATTGTCACCTACTGCGATTCACTTGCTTGGTCAAGCCTCATTAATCTTTTGGACAAGATCGGAAAATTCATTCAAGCAACACACAATGAAGAGGTATCATTATACAAGTTTCTGTATGCTCACGATCCGTCGTCAGTTGGATCGAACGGACACCAGTGTCTTTCATCGTGTTCTCCCCTTTATCCACTACAGTGGTGTGGTAACGTATGCGGCGTCGTCGTAATGATTGCGGCAGCTATTGCATGTCTTGCAGCTGACTTCTTTAAAGATCTAACGAAAAGTAAAGACCCTGCACCGCAGTGCTCAAACTTTCTTAGGGAACCAACGAAGTACTCAAAGTATCTTCGCTTAGTGTTGATGTCTTGGTTTGCAAGAAATGATATTATCGTGTCGAATGTGTTGCCTTCATTCAATGTACCTTCACTAAGATCAGAGAGGAAAAAAGATGGGAAAGAAGTGAGGAAAGAGGGGAAGAGAGATGAGAAAGAACTGAAGATAGAGGAGAAGAAAGAGGAGAAAGAAGGAAAGAAAGAGGAGAAGAAAGATGAGAAAGAAGTGAAGATAGAGGAAAAGAAAGAGGAGGAAGAAGGGAAGAAAGAGGAGAAGAATGATGTGAAAGAAGTGAAGATAGAGGAAAAGAAAGAGGAGGAAGAAGGGAAGAAAGAGGAGAAGGAAGAGCAAAAAAAAAGAGAGAAAGAAAGAGGTAAAGGAAGCAAAAAAAGAAGAGGAGACAGTGAAGAAAGGGGAGGAAAAAGAAGTGGATAAAAAGAAGGATGTGAAGAAGACTCTTCCCGCCAGGAGAGGTGTAAACAAATGGGAATGTCCACATTGTGATCTTACCTGCAACGATAAATCTAACCTTAATCGGCATATGAGACGGAAACATAAAGACGATCGATTGCAGGTGAATAAAGAATACGACGACGTTCAATCGGGTAGAAGGTGCAGGTGTATTCAGTGCGGTTATACTTGCCACAGGATCGTCGAGTTCCGTAATCACCTATCAAAAGCGCACAATGTTATATTCAGGACAGAAAACATCAAGCTACAAAACTACAAGGGTGTGTAATATTAACCTTTTCTATTTCCCATGCATGTTTAGTGAGATTGTAAAAATAAGCACTCGGAGTAGAGAAAGAGAAATTAAGAAATTAAAACTTTAGACTCATTTTTGATCGAAAGAAGGAAAGAAATCATCACAACTATAAAGATCTTACTTAAATTGGCAGTTTTACTAATTTTAGTAAGCTCAGAAAGTGTCCTTTTTAACCTGTAGGTAAGAAATTAGTCTAAAGGGCAAGTCGTCCATTAGGTAACTGTTTTCTATGCTAACATTTTTTTAGAGTTTCAAACATGGAAAGAATTATTCGAAGATAGAGAGGATTGTCTCTTTATTAAGAATACTGGAGCGAAACGATTAAGTGGCGAATCAATGGTTGAGTATTTCAACTGTAACCGTGGAGGAGATTACGTGCCCAAGGGCGAAGGGAAAAGGAGATTAAAGAGTCAAGGTGCGCATTTACTCTATTATCTATTGCTTTAGATATATTTAATTAACTAGCCCGCTTTAAAAGTGCTCCCCAAATGACGTCTAAAACTGCTTTGTGTACGGCGATTTAAAATTTATTTAAATACGGTATATGTAAAACGACGAAAATAACACTATGGATACTCACGTTTGTAGAATTACCACACCCTTCTTCTATTCCACTAGGTTCAAGCAAGATTAACAACAATTGCACAGCTGGCATGACAGTTACAACAGAAAAAGACGGGCAAGTAGACATGGATATATGCTACACACATTACGGACACGACCACGAACTCCAACATATCCGAATATCTAAAATCAAAAGACGAGAGATTGCACTGAAGATCAGGGAAGGAATCAGTAGAGAACGTGTTCTGGACGGTATACGAGAAAATGTTGAAGAGGATCTGCATCGCCACCACCTAGTAGACAAAAAGGACTTGACAAATATCAGTGTAGCATACGGGCTAGATAACATACGCCGTCATGCAAATGATCAACAAAGCGTACCGGCATGGATCGAAGAGTGGACTGAAAACGAAAATACAAACCCAATACTCTTTTACAAATTACAAGGTGGAGCGGCGCCGGATGATGTGAATCTATCCGAAGAAGATTTTTTCATTGTCGTACAAACCCCGATACAAAAGCATATGTTTCAACAGTTTGCTTCAAATGGCGTTTGTTGTGACACCACACATGGGACTAATGGGTACGACTTCTCGTTGGCTACGGTCCTTGTTGCTGACGAGTTTGGAAAGGGATTTCCCGTAGGATGGTGCATCTCCAATCACGAGGATTTCACAACAATGCATCTATTTTTCCGAATGATTCGCGAAAATTGCGGCGTACAACACAATGGGTTCTTCATGAGCGACATGGCTCCTCAATTTTACAACGCCTGGGTTGCGGTGATGGGAGAACCTCGGCCAAAGAAGCTTGTGTGCACATGGCATGTAGATAAGGCGTGGCGAACGGAATTAAAAAAAAAGATAGGAGAGAC